GTTGTGGTTTGTTTTGCGTGTGCTCTTGGTCTGTTATGTGTGTGTTGTGTGTGTGAATGTGTGTGAATGTGTGTGTGTGTGTGTGTGTGTGCGCGGTCTTCGGTGTTTTGTGTTGTGTGTGTTGTGTGTTCTGTGTGTTCGCTGGCCTCCGCACGGCTGGCCTCTGTTGTGAGCTCGCTGGCCTCCGCACGGCTGCGCGCCGGGCGGTCTGCCGCGGGGGGCTGCGCGTTGCCGCCAAAATCGTTTTCGGCGTCCTTGCCCCGAGCTGGAGGCTGGACCCGGCGGCGGTGGTGATGATCGCGCCGCTGTGGCAGGCTGCGAAATGCCTCCGGCACGGCCGGTTTCCAGCCGAGCTGTGGAGGCAGACCGCTGGGGCCCTGGCCGCTGGGCACGGCCGCGGCGCCGGGCCGGTCGCGGCCGCGCTCCAGAGCTTGACAGAGCTGCAGCTCGGGTCCGACATCGAGCGTTGGACTGGCGTGCCGGCCGCGCCCGGGGGTTGGCGCCCCGCCCAGATGCCCCTGCAGGACACGCGATCGGTGCTACTGGAGGCCTGGTCCCAGCGCGAGGCCCGGCGGCTGGCCAGCAGGCGCGCTGACTTCCGGCATGTCGACGTTGGCGTCGACCGCTGGGCAACGAGGCGGCTCCTGACCAGCGGTTCGCTGGCGACGGACGCCGCGGGGGCGTTGCGCGCGGTGTTCGCGGGCAACGTGATCACCGAGTCCGTTGCAGCGAAGTGGGGGCGGCCTGCAGCTTGCCCGCACTGCGGCGCGCCCGTGGAGGATCTCGAGCACCGCATGTGGACCTGCCCGCGCTGGGAGCCCCAGCGCCGAGCGGCGTTGCAGCCAGAGGGTTTCACTGCGGAGGCCGCCCGCGCCTGCCTACCTCCCGAGGCAGCGCGCACGGGCGTCTTGCACCGGAACCTTCGCTTGGCAGTCCTCGCGGAGGAGGCCCGGCTGCCCTTGCCGCTGCCCGCGCTCCCCGACCCGCTGGCCGGCCTCCCGGCTGCGCCACAGCGCAGGCCACGCGCCTGGACGGACGGCTCCTGCGTGCGCCCGGGCGACCCCCTCCTCGCCAGAGCTGGCTGGGGCGTCCACCTCGAGGGCGGCGCCGGGGGCCACGTGGACCGCCATGGCCCCGTCGATGCAGCGCAAACCGCCCAGCGCGCAGAGGTCTGGGCTTGCGTGCAGGCGCTGCACTTGGCGGGTGGCTGCGTGGAGGTGGTCACTGACTCCCGCTTCGTCAGCCGCGGGGTCGCAGCGCTCCGGGGCGGCGCCAGCCCAGCTGACTGGGCGCACGCAGACTTGGGGAGGCGATCGCCCCGCATTGCCGCAGCGGGGTGCTGCGCGCCCGCTGGGTCAAGGCGCACCTCGGCGCCGACCAGGCGAGCGACCGCGGGATGTCCGAGGAGGACCGCGCGGGCAACGCAGAAGCGGACCGCCTGGCGGGGCTGGCCGCCGAGGGCCGGATGCCTGCGACCGCGCTGCGCCAGGAGCGGCAGCGGCAGCTGGACGCGCTGGCTGCGGTGCAGAGGGTGTTGGCGTTCGTGGAGCTCGCGGCGCTCCAAGCCAATCATGCTCCGCGCGGCGCTGCGGGGCCGCGCGTTCGGCGTCGCTGGGCGGCGCCGCGCGCCGCGCGGCCCCGGCACCGCGCGGCCCCGGCAGGCCCCGTTGGACCGCGTCGCGAGCTTGCGGCCGCGTGCAGCGCAGCCGCCCCTGCCCCGCCGGCTGCCCCGCCCGCGCCGGCGGCCGCGGTTCGCTCGCTGTTCGCCGGCCACGCCTGGCGGCCGCACGCGGCGTCCCAGGGGCCTGGATGGGTCGCCTGCCTCCGCTGCGGCGGATGGGCCAAGCAGTGGCGCGGGTTGGCGAGCCGGCCGTGCGCCGGCTGGGTGCAGACGCTGCCGCCGCGCGCGGCGGGCCTGCTGCTGCTGCCCGCGGCCCGCGCCGGTGGCGCCGAGGCCGACTGGCGGGCGGCGCTGCGGGCGCGGCTCGCCGCGCGCCCCGGCGCGCCCGAGGCGCCTGGCTAATTAATTGCATTGGCGGCGCCGCCGCAGGCGCGGGAGCGGGCCGCGCGCCCGCCGCGCCCTACCCCCTCCTCCCCCTCCCCCCCCCCTGCTTGTCCCCCCTCCGCCACTGGGCAGTCTTCGCGCTGGTTTAAAAAAGTGTGTTCTGTGCGTTGTGGATGTTGCGGGTCGTGTGCATGCTGTGTGCGTTATGTGTTATGTGGGTTGTATGTGTTATTTGTGTTGTGTGCGTGCTGCTCGTGTTGTACGTCCTGGTTCGATGTTGCCAGGGCGTCTCAGGCGAAACTACCTTGATGAAAGACTCGTGCGCGAGTTCATTGAAACCCACTGTGTCGTTGAAGGTTTTATGTAACATGGTGTTCAACAAAGCCTTTGTTTTTGGACCGTGACGTCGCGTTCTAATTGAGGGGTGCGTGCGATTTGCTGCATGCTGAGGATGTCGTAATTGACGCGGCCAGAAAAAAGGACGCGGCGACAATGAGCCGCCTCGGAGCTCTGCTCCTCCGGAGAGGTGCGCATGAGAGTTTACACGTATACAGATATATACACATATTCATATGATGTATGTATGTATGTGTATATATACATATATATATATGTGTGTGCACCCATTGGATACACATAAACATACACACATACTGGTCGATATTCTCATTTCAGTGGATCGCTTTGTGTATATACGGGAGAATTCGCTACATACATACACAGATCTATACAAATACATATACAAATGCCCATCGATCAGACACTGGAGAAACTTAAGCGGGATCGAACAACGTCTCGTTCGGATCTCGTTCGTCCACGTTTTCCTACCCGTTGGGGTCTCACCAGTCTTGTTGGGGTTTCACCCGTCTCGTCGATTTCTCACGATTTCTCTCGCAAACAAGCGCGAGGATGTTTGTTTTCATCGGGAACCGCAATCGTGGCATAATGTTTTTTGCCAAGCAAGTTGCGGGTGCTGGTGGGAGGGAAGGATGTGTGCACGAACAAGGATGTTGACGTCTTCAAGTTATGCAACAATTCGTTGCACCACATAGCTTGCACCAGCTGAACAATATTGTTGCACGACGTGTCTTACACATGCACGCTGCAACCATTTGCTGTTTGGGGTCCACGCTGGCTAACCTTAGCTGACGTGTTCCCTTGCTCTACGAACGTGTAGTGCGAACGTGCTAGATACTTCCGATGGTAGTTTGGGCCGCTGTTACGACGGTGGCCAGATTTTGGGATTATCATATTACCTTCCTCTCTGTGTTCCTTCCCGGCCTGTCTTTCTGTCAGCATCGCGGTGTTGCTCTTCTGTGGCGAGGCATGGCGTTGCGACAACAGTGCGTCTGCAGCACCCGCACAAAACGGAATCTGACCGCGAGGCGCCCGAACATGATCAAAAACTTCTGCCGCACAGTACATATTGCGTTGTTCATTGGCAGGCGCGGTGGGGGGGGGCATGGGTCTTGGCTAGGGGCTGGTAGAGACGAGGAAGGGTGTATATTAAAAACCTCGAACGGCGAAGGCCTTACGGCCAGTGCCGCCGACCCTGAGAACGATGAAGATGAATACGAGGGGGGGCAGGGGGAGGAGGATGAGTGGGAGGTGGAGGAAGGGTGGGGGAGGTGGATGAGGGAGGAGGAGGGGGGAGAATGATGTGGAGGAGAAGCAAGAGGAGGAGAAGGAGGCAGAAGAAAGCAGGAGGAGGGGGAGCAGAGGGGGGGGAGGAGGAGGAGAAGGAGGAGGAGGAGGAGGAGGAGGAGGAGGAGGCCAGAGGCTTTCTTGGGACGACAGCCTGGGACTCTCTTGAAGCCGTCTTGGGCCGTCCTGGGCTCCTCTTGCGCCGTCTCGAGGCACTCTTGGAGGCCTCCTGGGCAATTTGGGGCTCTCCTGGGCTGTCTTGGGGCAATATTGGGGGCCTCTTGGGCCGTCTTGGAGGCGTCTTGGGCCGTCTTGGGGCCCTCTTCGGCCGTTAGGGGACCCTCTTGGAGGCCTTTTGGGCAGTCTCGGGGCGATCTTGGGGGCCTCTTGGGCCGTCTTGGCGCGTCGGGAAGCGGAAGAGGCAAGAACGCCAAAATCTGTTAAAAACGTATGGGGGATCTATGAATTTTGCCTCTTGGTGCTCTCGTGGGAAAGCTCCTGGAGGCCTCTTGGGGCGCTTTGCAGGCCTCTTGGGCCGTCTGGAGGTCGTCAAGGCGTCTTGGACATTTCACAAGCTGACTTATTTGCTCGCTCCTAGCTACCCTCCCGCCATTTAAGGCTGCACCCGGTACTAAGCCGACCCAGAGGTCGCCATCGGATGCACAGCCATCATTGGGAACTAAACAAGCGTGCCAGGCGCGCCTGGTGCGCCAGATGCGCCGTGTGCGCCATGTGTGCCACCTGCTCCAGCCGCGCTCGGTGCGCCAGGTGCGCGACCCGGACAAGGTGCGCGACCCGGACAGGGTGCGCCATGCGCGCCAGTGCACGTGGCAGCACATCGGTCGATGTTTCGACCGTTTGACCATTTGTGTCAAGAACCACCCGCAATTAACTTACATTCGTTCTAGACAGGGAGCATGGGGCAGCGCACAGAGGACAAGTATACTCTCTCTCTCACACACATTCACCGCCATGCAAAGTGCTCGCGGGGGCTTCGCTCATGATCCAGATTTTGCACCATGCATACCCTGCATTGTTTTTGACAGGGACGTTGGATGGGGCGCCGTCGTGGTCTGTGGTGAGCGGCAGGTTGAGTTGTAGAGGGTGTGTTTCTGAACGCGGGGCAGTGGCAGTCCCTCCCCGAAGGGGACTCTCGTGAAAGCACCTCCGCGCAGAGGGCCGGTGGGATTTCGCCACCCGTGCCCCCCATCGCCGTCCTCGGCGAGGGTGGGCACTCCTGCCGAGAGATCCTTGGCAGGGTGGCGCTTCCCCGAGAGGAGCGATTTGAGGGCCAGAGCTCCCGCAGCCGTGCCAGGTCGGCAGTGGTGCGTCTCCTCGGGGGGGCCCGCAGGACATGCGGGTGTTCAACATGGACCGGCACAGCGGGAACCTGCTGCTGCTGAAGGACGCGTCGCCCCACCTGCTGGGGCCCAGCTCCGGGGCGGCCGGGGCCTCTCCAGCGAGAGCGGGCGAGGCTCGGCGCTCCTATGGTCCTCGCAGCCCGCTCCTCGGGGCACCCGCGTCCTCCAGAGGCCCCGCCCGGCGGCCGGCTTCTCTGAGCCTGGGCCTCCCTGGGGGCCCAGTTCGGGCCCCGCCCACGGCCGCAGGCCCGTGCCGAGCACGTTGGCCAGGAGGGGAGGACGCACGCAGACACCAAAGGAGTCGCCGATCCCCAGGAAGATATGGGAAAGTATGGGAAGTGGGGGGGGGGGGGAAGCGAAGATCCAGAAGACACGGAAAAGTGTAGGGGGTCCTGGCGGGCGGGGGACGGGAGGAGAAGGTAGAGGGAGAGCGGAGGGGGATGCGATGTGTCTGCGCCTTTCTCCTCTTGGGGCCCTGCTCAAGATCCCTTTTGGAGGCAGCCTTGGGCCTCTTGGGCCGCCTTGGGGCCCTGGTTATGGAGCCACCTCTGTGTCTCTTCGGGGTCCCCTGGGCCGTCGTCTTGGGCCTGTCTGGGGGGCCTCTCGGGTCGTCTGGCGTTCTCTGAATCGGGAACTGTAGCATGTACATTACCATGAAGTAGGGCATGTCCATCCATAGGAGGAATGTTCGAAAGCATTTAAACAATAATCTGGGGACGATTGCTTCTATGTTTGATAATTCTTGAATATTTGTTTGACAATTTCTATGTTTCCGCATCCGCCTGTAGGAGGACATGCCCGACCTGACATTACCAGTGGCGGGCTGTTACTCAATCGCAGGACTTACTTGTTGCTCCCGCTTTCCCAGGGAAGCAACGAGAAACGTATACACCAAAATCCCGTGTACATCAGGATCCGCCTTCCTGCGCGAATGCCAGTGCGAGGCCAGAAAATGCGTCGGTGTATGGAGTTCGGCTCCTTACTGAAGCCAGGAAAACGAGAACGCGAAAATCGCTCAACAGTTTTTGGGGAAATCCATGGTACTTGCCTCACGAGGCCCTCTTCGGTGGTCCTCTGGAGACCCTCTTGGGGCGTCTTGGGCCGTCTTGAGGCCATCTTGGGTGCTCTCGAGGTCCCTCTCGCGTGTGAGAGCCCTCGCGGAGCCAGAGTCGACGGCATCCTGCACACCTTGGCGACCGCGAAGGGTGGATTTGTTGGAGGCTCCGAAGGCCCCAGAGGCGCGTGGACGAGCTCGTCCCCCCCAACCCCCGCCGGGGGGTGGGGGCGGGGAGGAGGGGCGCCCCCCTAGGAGTAAGTCGGGCCTGTCCCTCTACAGAAGGAATATTTCAAACATAGTAAAAGCAATGGTCTGGGGACAGTGTGTTTGAACATTTTTCTGCCATTTGGGAGTTTTTCGGTGTTTTTTTTGATGTTTCGCTCAAAATCCGCCTGTAGGGGGGACATGTCCGACCGAACCCTAGGATTTGGATCCCATGGGGAGTGGGGAAATGGGGAGGGGGACAGCCAGCTGTCTCGCACGCCTTCTCACCTCTGGCAAGAGGGGATCGGCGGAGTTCTGCGGTCGGGGACTCTTTGGGATGGCGCGTCGCTCCGCCGGCTTGAGCCCACCACGCTGCGGGGCGACACGCTATCCACTCCTCAGTCCCCAGTCGTCAACGTCCAGGGCCTTTCCGATCCCCCTGCCCCGCGGAACGGAGCGACGCACTACCCGCTTGCACGGCCCAGCGTGTCGCCAGAGCTGCAGCCGCGACACGGTAAGCAGAAGATCCCGACCGCACCTCCCCAATCAGGCATTCCCTAAGGGTTTTCCTCTCTGTTTTGTGAAAGGGCCGTTGGGCGCGACGTTCTCTGTACGAGCTGGACCTCGGCGCTGTTGCTTCCCTGGTCTTGGTGTCGCTTGGGCGTCGCTCGGGCTCCCAGGTCCTGTTGCCTGGGTTTCCCGGTCTTTCCTCGGCTTTTCCCCGGTTTGGCTGTTTGCTTTCCTTTCTTGGGCTCCCCGGTCTTGTGTCCTGCATTCCCTAGTTAGGTCCCTCGGGCCCCCTGGTCGTCTCGATGCCAAGCAGTACCAATCACTGCCGAGGAATGCCTAGGAATGCCAAGCACTGTCAAGCAAGGCAGAGCCAATGCCAAGCAAGACCCAGCAATGCCAGGCAAGACCAAGCAGCGCCAAGCAAGGTCAAGCAATGCCGAACAATGCCAAGCAATGCCACACAACTCCAAGTAATGCCAGGCTGGGCCAAGTAAGTGAAATGACGCCAAGCAATGCCAAACAAGGCCAAGCAATGCCAAGCAAGGCCAAAGCAGCGCGATGCAAAGCCAAGCAATACCAAGCGCTTATCCCAAGGAATGCGAATCAACGCCAAGCAATGCCCAGAAATACGAAGTACTGCCAAGCAGCGCCAAGCAGTGGTTTGCATTGCATTGCTTTGCATTGCCCAGAACTGATTGTTTTGAATTGCCGTAGGAAAAGAAGACCCCCCAATCGGGGTCGCGCCAGACTCATGTTTCTACTTCCCATGCCGCACATTGTCGGTAGCAGAGGTGAGGCACCTTCGAGAAACAGTGCCACGAAGCCGCATGCCAGCACGACCTCCTGGAACACGAGGACCGTAGCAACAAAGACGGGATCAGGCCAACCTTCAAGTCATGTCGCAAGTTTCGTGAAGTTGACGTGTGCCCGTTTGCGATGCGTCATCGTGAAATTGCCTCTGCAAAGTTGAGAGGCGCATGGTGTACTCTTTGATGAGCGGCCCCTTCAAAGTTGACGGGCGCGCTGGTTTATTGGTTGGATGCCTCCCCGCCCGCGCACCTCGATGCGCTGGTTTCAACTTTGGGGGGCGGGGGCAAGCTTCTCGCGGCGCGACATCAAGTCTGTCTCGTCAACTGTGACCGACTGGTGGGCCCCCGTGCCCACCAGCCTACCCACTGGCGCTCACCGACGTGCCGGTCACGAGCGACAGAGCGGAGGGCCAGAAACCAGGGCCGTGCTGACGGCATCGCCTGACCCCGCAGAGCTGTCCGCCAGGGGGTGGCACACCCCGCCAGTGGGAGAGTCGGCCTCACAGGAAGCGCTGGCGGGATGCCGGGCCACTCTCAGTTCTCGAACGCCACCGTCGATGTCCTCAGCACGACCGAGATCGGCAAGCCTCTTGCTGAACGGCTGCGTCGCGACGCAGCGGCCAACGTCCAGCACCATGGAGTTGAAGGCGCCTACAGACTGGGAGCACTTCACCGTGACCACGTCCAAGGCCTTCGGTTCTGCCCCAAGCAAGGCGAGCCGCCACGCCCACAGCGCCGCCCATCATGCCAGGCCCCCGACGTCGTGATTTTTCGCAGTGTCGACCCCAGCCAGAGGTGTCGACCCATTCCCCGGGATTGATTCTTCATCCTCCAGAGGCAGCCCATGGTGGCAGGAGACGACGGCACTGCCACCACGCCGTGTCCGCAGGCCCCAGCCGACAGCAGGGCACGACACCCCCGCCAGCGGCGCTGAGACGACGCCGTCATCGGCAGGCAGCACACCACGTCGGACTTCTGCCCCCGATGCGCCCGTGTGGAAGCGCAACACATGGCGTGTGCAAAACGTCCGTGCCAACACGCTGCGTGTGGCCTCGGCACGTGTTGGACCACGTTGTGGCGAACGTTTCGCGGCAGGCCTGCGTGTTCAGCCCGCGTGCTGAGCTCCGCACCAGCACGCCGCGGGCCGCGTGCTGCGCATCGGGGCAGCTGAGCGTCGGAGAGCTCCAGGGCGCTCGAGAGAGCCACGGCGCCATGCGTGCGCCACGACCACGCGCTACACCGCACGGGGCTGCAGGCACCTTCCGTGGGCACGAGCGCGCCGTCCTCGGCCCGCCGCGCGACAGCTCCTCGGCGACGGCGGGCACGGGCTCGGCGTCCAGCTGCGCCTCGCTGCGTGCAGCCGCTCTCTGATCTGAAGACGAGTGGCAGCGTCCTCACGGTCGGGGGCGTTGGGACAGCACGTCTCTCCGCCAGTTTTGGCCCACCGCGTTTCGGCGCGGCACGCTACCCACTCCGTGGTCCGTGGTCCTCGAGCGTCAGCGTCCCGAGCTTTTCCGAACCTCCCAGCCCACGAAGCGGAGCGACACGCCATCGGGGTGGCTGTGCCTGGCGGCGCACGGGCGGCCGTCCACGTCCCGCGCCAGTGGTGGACTCGCAGCCCGGGAACGGATGGTGTTCGTCGAGCTGGACCTTTCGAGCGCTTTTTCGACATGCTGGACAGGCAGGCTGTTCTGCGGGAAGTGCATGATGATGTCTCCCCGGGTTGGCCCCTTTCATGCCGCAGCAACCCAAGGCAACTTCTCCTGGGCAAGAGGGCGCTGCGCTCCGAGTTTTGTGTCCAGCAAGGCGACCCCCTCGGGCCCTTGCCAGTCGCCCTCACGCTGCAACGCTGCGCAGAGAGCGCGCGGTGCGGGCGCGACGTCGCCCCTGCCGCCGTTGCCGAGGGTTGCTTGGACCTGGCGTTTTTTTCCTGGACGACGGCTGTCTTGCAGGGGATGCGCCGGCTGTTTCCCACCTGGTGCACTGGCTCGTCGCCCTGCTCGCCGAGGTGGGCCTTGGCCTCAGCACGGGCCCGAGGAAGTGCGAGATCGTGCCCGTTGCAAGAGAAGACTGCAACGTGGACTTGGCCTCCTCCTCCAGGAGTTCCGGCTACGAACAGACAGACGCTTGTGGGCGCATATGATTTCTGCGCGCAGCACACCCAGCATCGGGTTGCAATGGCCGCCGAGCTGCTGGGCGCCCTGGGGGCACTGGAGCACGCGCAGGTGGCCCTGCATCTGCTCCGCCATTGCGCCTCCTACTGCAAACTGGGATACTCGGTACGCACGGTCCCGCCCACGGTGCACACGGCGGCCCTGCAAACGGTGGTCTCGCAAGCGGAGGACTCCTGGGCGCAGACGCTGCGAAAACTAAAGAGGGGACGGCCCGGGCTGCGCTCTGCGGAGAAGCATACGGCGGCGGCCTACTTGGCGACGCGGGACATGAGCGCGCGGCTCTCCCGGCAGCTCTACCCGGCTTGCGACGACACCGACGGCGGAGACGAGGGCAGCTTGGCCGCCGCCGCCCAGGCCTTCAACACCACAGTCCTAGCGACCGACAGGATTGAGCTCGACCCTGCCCACTTCGAGAAGGTGGACGACGCCACCCGCCACGAGCTCCGGCAGCGCTCCTCTCCAGCCGCGCGGGCCCACCTCAACCTGGTGGCTGCCCCGGGCGCCAGTGACTGGCTCCTGGCTCCGCC